ACGGCTACGGGGCTATGGCGACAACGAGGACGAGCACGTCCTGCTGACGAGAACTGCGTGGAAGGCGAAGGAGGAGGTCGAGTGCTCGTCAAACTCGTCGAAATGGCGAGGAGGTGGTCGTGGCCGTGGCCGTGGTCGTGGTCGCGTGCGTAGTGAGGGCGGACGCGGGAATGAATCCAATCACAGAGAGAATAAGTTCGACAAAACCAAGGTAAAGTGTTACAATTGTCATCACTTTGGACACTTTGCTTATGAATGTAGATCCAAGAACAAAGATGAAAAGGTTCATTTAGTGGAGACACAAGGAGAGGATGAACCTGCCCTCCTCGTAACAGAGGAGATAATGTTACATGAAGAGAAGGTTGTGCCGAGAGAAGAAGTTGTGTATGATAGCAGTGTGTGGTATCTCGACACTGGAGCAAGTAATCACATGACTGGGTGCCGAAGAAAATTCACTGAGCTTGATGAGTCAGTGATCGGAAAAGTTAAGTTCGGCGACGGGTCTGTCGTGGACATCCAAGGAAAAGGCACTGTGATGTTTCAATGTCAAAATGGTGAGCATCGGATCCTCACCAATGTTTACTTCATACCCAAGTTGTGTAGCAATATTGTAAGCTTGGGGCAATTAGATGAACATGGGTGTAAGATAGTCATAGAAGGAGACTGTTTGCATATCTATGATAGAGCTAGAAAATTACTTGCTAATGTGAGGAGATCAAAGAACAGGTTGTACATTCTCAACCTCAAAGCTGCTCATCCAATGTGCTTGTTGGGAAGCCTTAAAGAAGATGCTTGGTTGTGGCACGCCCGCTATGGCCACTTGAACTTTCAAGCTTTGAGAAGTTTAACTCAGAAAGGAATGGTGAAGGGGATGCCTACAGTTGATCACATAACTCAAGTGTGTGATGGGTGTGTCATTGGCAAACATCATCGTACACAGTTTCCCCAAAGCGCAAGTTTTCGAGCTGAGACCCCGCTCCAACTCATGCATGGTGACTTGTGTGGCCCAATCACTCCTACAACACCTGGAGGTAACAAATATTTTATGTTGCTTGTTGATGATTATAGTAGGTACATGTGGGTTGTGATGCTCAAGAACAAAGATGAAGCATTACATGCATTCAAGAAGGTGAAGGCAAGTGCAGAGATGGAAGCTAATACTAAGCTGAAGGCATTCCGAACCGATAGGGGTGGGGAGTTCACCTCTAAAGCATTCACCCAGTACTGTGAAGACTCAGGCATCAAGCATTTCCTCACAGCCCCATACTCTCCGCAGCAGAACGGCGTTGTCGAGCGAAGAAACCAAACTGTTTTAGGAATGGTGAGAAGCTTATTAAAAAGCAAACATGTACCAGCTACATTTTGGGGAGAAGCTGTGATGACAGCAGTATATATACTCAATCGAGCTCCAACAAAGAGTGTGGAAGGAGTGACACCATATGAGAGGTGGACTGGTCGGAAACCGAAGGTTCAACATCTTCGAGTTTTTGGCTGCTTGGTGCACGTCAAGACTGTGAGTCCATACACAAAGAAGCTGGCGGATAGGAGTGCTCCAATGGTGTTCCTTGGATACGAGCCTGGATCAAAAGCCTATAGAGTGTATGATCCTAATACAAGAAAACTACATGTAAGCAGGGACATAATTTTTGAAGAAGACAAGGAATGGAAATGGGAGTCTTCGGATGTTGAAGGGGATCCCAGATTCAAGTCAAGTGAAGGGTTCACAGTACACTTCAAGTTGGAACAAGCAGGAGCTCGGCAAACCATATCTGACCAGTCACTCAATCTGCCTAGAAATGAAGCTGCATCGACACCAAGTTCGTCGAGTTGTAATGTGCAATCGCTGGAAGGAGCAGAAGCATCAGGTTCACCTGCGTCTTCATCCTCAGCTGCAGCAATTTTGGGGACGCCAGGGAGCCATGATCAGGCAACTAGCTCTGAGAGACCTGTCAAGTTTCGATCCCTGCAGGAGATATACAATGACACTCGTGAGATGGATGAAGAAGCTGGGTTGTGTTTTATGTCTGTTGAAGAGCCAGCAAATTATGAAGAGGCAGCAAACAATGAGAGTTGGAGGCAAGCAATGGCAGAGGAGATAGCAGCTATTAGAAAAAACAACACGTGGGAACTTGCTGAACTACCGAAGGGCCATCAGGCCATTGGTCTGAAATGGGTCTACAAAGTGAAGAAGAACCCTGAAGAAGAGATAGTGAAATACAAAGCGCGCCTTGTGGCGAAGGGTTACGTACAAAAGCAGGGGGTGGATTTCAACGACGTGTTTGCTCCGGTTGCAAGACTCGAAACAGTGAGAGTCTTGATTGCTTTGGCTGCCGAGGAAAATTAGGAGATACATCACATGGATGTTAAATCCGCATTTCTGAATGGAGAACAAAGTGAAGAAGAACCCTGAAGAAGAGATAGTGAAATACAAAGCGCGCCTTGTGGCGAAGGGTTACGTACAAAAGCAGGGGGTGGATTTCAACGACGTGTTTGCTCCGGTTGCAAGACTCGAAACAGTGAGAGTCTTGATTGCTTTGGCTGCCAAGGAAGATTGGGAGATACATCACATGGATGTTAAATCCGCATTTCTGAATGGAGAGTTAGAGGAGGAAGTATATGTGACTCAACCAGTCGGATTTATAGAAAAGGGCCATGAAGAAGAAGTGCTTAGATTGAAGAAGGCATTATACGGGCTACGGCAAGCTCCTCGCGCATGGAATTCGAAGCTTGATAAGTGCTTACAGTCACTAGGGTTCATCAAGTGTCCTCTGGAGCATGCTGTGTATAAGAAACAAATGGGAGGTGCTATCCAAGTGGTTGGTGTATATGTGGATGATCTTATCATCACTGGGTCAAATGTCGAGGACATCACAAAGTTCAAAGAACAGATGAAGAAACTATTTGACATGAGTGATCTTGGATTATTAAGCTACTACCTGGGCATTGAAGTGAAGCAAGACTCACAAGCTATTACACTGTCTCAATCAGTGTATGCAATGAAGATACTTGAAAAACTTGGGATGGCTGAATGCAATCCTTGTCACAACGGGAGTAATTTACTTCCTTGGTGGAAATTCAGTCACTTGGGTGTCACAGAAGCAGAGAGTGGTGGCACTCTCCTCATGCGAAGCTGAGTACGTGGCCGCTACAGCTGCAGCGTGTCAAGGTATTTGGCTCAGTCGGTTGTTGAGTGAAATAAAGGGAGGTGAACCTGTCAAAACAGTTCTCAAGGTAGACAACAAATCAGCCATTGCTCTGACGAAGAACCCTGTACATCACGACAGAAGTAAACACATTGATACCAAGTATCATTTTATTCGCGACTGTGTTCAGAAGAAGGAGATTGAAGTGGAGTATGTCAGGACAGAAGATCAGCTGGCTGATATTTTGACAAAGCCACTCGGTCGACAAAGGTTTGTCGAGTTGCGTGAGAAGATTGGTTTGAAGAATGTGAAGCAAATACAACAAGATTAAGGGGGTGAATGTTGAGTTAATCATGTTGAGTTTGATTTCCACGTTTAATTAGCTAGTTAGTTAGTTTTATTTCCGTAAATCTTGTGTTAGTGGAACGAGTCCTGGGTAGGCGTGGCTTGAATTTCGGATCACAACTAACCTGTAATTGGTTATAAATTGCAGTTAGATTTGTGTAGGCAATGCATCTTCTTCGCATCTTCATCAATTAAATAAAGTATTACTCCTTCAACCTGGTGTATCCGCTGTGTGTTTCAGTTTTCTCCTGTTTTTAATCCAACAGAGCTCTCTGAGAGACGACGAGCTCCGAGGGAAGACAAGCTTCGAAGGAGGAATGAACGACGAGCTTCGAGAGAGAATGAGATTCGATGATGGGGGAGTAGTGGATGGACTATGGAGTTTGTGTCTGGAGGAGGGCCAGCGGCAAAAAGAATTAGAAATTTGGAAATGAAGGAGAAACCCTAGCCTATGGATTCCCTCTTACCTATTTACATGGGTGACATTTGTAAATAAAAATTTACATAAGTAAATTTGTAATAAGTTTAATTAATAGGACTAAAAGAAAAAAACTAATCGAATAGTAATGAACTCCCGAATCGAACATACCTTTCGTTAAATTTTATTCATTTATAAGCCGAATACTAAAAATTATTTGTTTAGTACTAAATGAACTATCGAATCGAGCTTGATCGAATATCTAAATAATAACCGAACTGTTTATTAATTATTCGGTTCACTTCCACCCCTAAATAGAACCCTCTAACATTTTATGCATAAAAGTACTTTTACTTTTCTTTGTTTTATATATGTACATAGCCAATAGAATTTTTTTTTAGGATTACTACATCGTCCCTTGCTTACTCAACGATTTCATCTTCATCCCCCTGAAAAGTGACATTTCCTCCCATTCTTCTTTTGGAACCTACATGAATTTAAATATTATAATTATGAGCTTTTGTAAGACTACAGACATGTTTAAATAAAATTGATTTATTTGCCTCCTTTCTCTTTTGGTTTCTTTACATATCTTTCGCCCATTCCTCTGCGTCCTCCGTAAATGCAACCATCCAGGAATCGGACACAATGATCACCCTATGCGTAATATTGAGATTCCCAGCTAAGTACACGTTTCAAAGTCAAATAAAAACGAGTTGTCCAACAAATGAGCCCCAAAATATAATTATTTCCTGAGTGAAAATTTTTATGAACCGATTCTCTTGGCACGGGTTTGCTACATTTGGTTGGCAGGTATGTGCTTCTCATTTGCAGGCGCCGACGAATTATAGTCTCATCCTCCAATATTGAAGGCCCAACGTACATTTTGACCTTCGAGAAATGCACTAACGGGTAAATAAGCTCAGCCCATTAAATCCGCAGATTCATTGAACCTGGGTCTCTCTTCGTCAATAGCATCTCCTGTCTGAATTTATTGACTGATTACGTCACCGCTGACGATGGTGAAAAGTTAGCACATCAACTAAACTATAAAACCAACCGAAGAATGGAAATCTATAAATAGCCTAACGAGGGAATGCTCCTTCTCAACGATCGACCAATTTTCATACTTCTCTGTCTCAACTTTTTTTAAGTAAGGAAACTTTGATGGCGGCAAAATCGGTTGCTCTGCTTACTCCCTACAAAATGGGAAATTTTGAGCTCTCTCACAGGTATTTAGACACCCCGAAACTTGCTTTCTCATATTTTAATCAAATGGATAACTTTAGAAAACTAATTTAAAATTTAACTAATTGCTATATATTATCATTCTCAGGATTGTGTTGGCGCCATTGACAAGATCGAGATCTTATGGAAATGTGCCCCAACCTCATGCGGCGCTGTACTACTCTCAGAGGGCTACCAAAGGAGGCCTCCTCATATCCGAAGCCACCGGCGTCTCAGACACGGCTCAAGGGTACTAATTAATCAACTATTTAAGCTAGCTTGAACTAATTATTACTCAAATATCATGCGTTGGATTACTATTGTTTCCTAAAGTATAGTTCCTCAATAAAATATTGTTCCATAAGCATATTCTACTTTCTTAGCGTAAACAGCCCCTAATGCAATTAGGGGGGGTGAAGCTGAACAACAATAATAGTGATGTGTGAGGGCTTTTTCTTAGAAGCCACCTTTGACTGTCACTTTGTACATAATATACCTTTAAACCTTTTTTTCCCCATCTTTTTTTTTTGTAATCAAGCACGTACACTCACTGTGAGGATTTACCTTTCAAGTTAAAAGCCCATGCCAATAATAAATATGATCTATGACACGTAAACTAGTTAGAAACAAAAAGGTGGGGGAAAAAAGGGCTTTAACATACATTTATCCAAGAAATTGAGTAGGGATAAGTTAACCAGCTTTACAAAACTCTAAAACACTCATTTTCTTCAACAACAAGGCCCTCCTTTCGAAACCCTCAATTGACTGCATCATACATAGCTTCTTCCATGGCGCCACAAAAACCTTGGAGTTCTGCATTGCAATTCATGACAGAACAGTCTACGTTCGGCAGTGAAACATGCACCTCAACATTGTGATGATCACTCTGCTAGTGGATCGTGCAACAGAAGAGCACTACACGTGGGGAGCAAACATAAAGCTCACGGATCCATCGTGGAAAGGGCATTACAAAGTTGCTACAGCATTATACCCGACGCGCGGAATCCAAATATGGAATTCTAAACATTTGCATTGGAAGTCAAGTAGCTTTACATATATACCGACATTGACAATCCGGAAGATAAACAAGTTATGTTTTCTTAAAAAAATCGACAAAATTTCAAACATCATTCTTGGCGTGGAATAAAGTAGATCGATTTTGTAAGTTAGTATTATAATAATTGAATATGAATGTTGTCTTTTTTGGAAAAGTTGTCCTCTTCTAGATAGTTTCTCGTAATACTATATTGAATTCTTGACATGAATGTAAGCTTTTGGAAATTTGAACGGATGATATTCTCATGTTGTAATTATATTATTCATTATTCAAATTTATATAGTAACAAATTTGTTATGTGCATTTGTTAGATATCCGGAGACTCCAGGGATTTGGACAAAAGAGCAAGTGGAGGCATGGAAGCCAATTGTGAAAGCTGTGCATGACAAGGGTGGGATATTCTTCTGCCAACTTTGGCACGTCGGAAGAGTCTCCAATTACAGTTAGTAGCATGACAAGGGTGGGATATTCTTCTGCCAACTTTGGCACGTCGGAAGAGTCTCCAATTACAGTTAGTATTACCCTGTCCAACATAATATTCCTTCCCTTTTTCATTTTGTAAACAACTTAACTGGTAAGGAATTTAGTGAGCGTTTAATATCATAACAATGATACGAACGCGTGCGTGCGTGTTTTATTCATATATAGGTTATCAACCAAATGGGCAAGCACCCATCTCGAGTACCGACAGAGGGATTCAGCCTCAGACTCAACATGACGAAACCATTGCAGAATACTCTCCCCCACGACGACTAAGAACCGATGAGATCCCTCAAATTGTCGATGACTTCAGACTTGCTTCAAGAAATGCAATAGAAGCTGGTACATACACATATCTATTCTATTGCATTGTTTCCCACTTTGTTCATTTGGCATATTTTCCTCTGATAGAACAGAGGGTTAAATAGTTAACAGTTCTTATTAAGACAGTTGAAAAATCTTACAAAGATTTAGAGAATTGAAATGTACTTATTTCGGGTATAATAACCGCCCCCTCTGTATGATTTGCGTAGGCTTTGATGGAGTTGAAATCCATGGAGCACACGGCTACATCCTCGAACAATTCATGAAGGACAGTGTCAATGACCGAACCGACCGATACGGTGGCAGCTTAGAAAACCGCTGCCGCTTTCCTCTCGAAGTAGTCTCTGCCATAGTCGACGAAATCGGAGCTGACCGAGTTGGCATTCGACTCTCTCCGTTTGCTGACTTCGTGGACGCCTACGACTCTGACCCAGAAGCCCTTGGGATGTACATGGTCAAGTCACTTGACAAGTTCAATGTTGTCTACGTTCATATGGTCGAGCCAAGAATGTCCATTGTTGATGGACGGAGGCAGATACCGCATAGATTGTCACCGATGAGAAAAGCATTCAAGGGTTCATTTATTGCAGCTGGAGGGTACGATAGAGAGGAAGGAAAGAAGGTAGTGGATGAAAATTACACGGATCTGGTTGCGTTTGGTCGGTTGTTCTTGGCTAACCCTGACTTGCCTAAAAGGTTCGAGCTCGAAGCTCCACTAAACAAGTATGATCGGTATACTTTTTATACTCCTGATCCGATTGTGGGGTACACGGATTATCCGTTTCTTGATTCATCAGCTTATTAGCTCATTTGATTTAAGTAAACTAAGACATGAGGACGAGTATTTATACCTTATGCTTTACATTAGGGAGGGAATAAGCTTATTTCTCGGCATACAATAAGGAAATAAGCAATCTCATGAAAATGGTGTATCTTTAAGTATGATTAATTTCCTATGTAATGTCATCTGGTTTTTAGTTGCGCTCTATTATAAAACATTTCGTTTATTAATGTATTGAATTGGGCTGATGGAATTACGAAACACCAAAAATGACCAGAAGCAAGGAAGGAATTCTTTGTCCATCACGGAAGTCTTCCTTCGTCTATTTCGAACGGAATACTCCGTTTCACTGCCTACAAACTATGGTAAAACAACATCAAGTTGCTCCCATTCAGGGTAATATATTCCCTTTTAAAAGATAAAAAGGGGCGATTTTGTTAAATTAGTCTAAGCTCAAGGCTTTTGACTGGGTTTAGCACTGTTCTATATATAATACCTGGCAATGACCATCAACAAACAGGTACTCGGCCGGGTTACCATGACAAGAAGCTGGCTCAGCGAAAGCCATTACCCCGCTAGAAAACCATTATAATCAATGGCCAACTTTTGACATTGACAGAATGCTACTACGTTTAATATCTCCTAGGCACTTTGAGCAGCTAATAAATACCCTGATCACTTGGGTTTGAAAGATCGATGCATTATCAAAAATTTCAGTGCCAGTGCTAGATTTTGTTTATGCCAATTCTCACAAGCTCGTACATTGCCCCATCACAGGTATCACCTCTCCAATGAATTCGAATTGATTGCATTTACGCTACAGTTTGAGCATAAATTGTTGCAATTATGGCCTATCATTCACCTGATCTAATCTATAGGCATCTGGTCTCCACTGATATGCTTGTGCTTTAGGGTTAAGAAAACTGCATCGAATTTATAATAGATAATGGCAGTTGAGAATCCACTAAAACCTTGTAAAAGAAATTCGCAACTCTTTCCAGCAATCTACACAAGTGATAAGTTTCTTTATTGTCTACAGCCTTTTAGAGTATAAGACTTAACAGCGCCTGATAATTAAATGTGTGCATAATTTAATTTTTGGTCAATGAAAAGAGCTTTATTCACTTACCAAAATGAGAAGATAACATTTCAAATCCAGAGGTTAACCTGGAACACATCTCTAAAGAGCTCAGTTACATATCTCTAATCCTTTCTCTTATATGCAATGGAAAATTTTCATTCAAGAATTTAGGGAAGATGGAGATCTTAATAGCTCTAAAAAGCACTTCAGGTTGTCTAATTCTCTCTTGAAAGATCCGGAGGTTCCTCTCTCCCCATAGCATGTAAACCGATACAACTAAAGTCATTCGCTTCAATTTCACTATAAAATTTCTCTTCTTCTTCAACCTGTGACTGAACCAGTTAATGATGCAATCCCAGCTACAAGACTTCTAATTAAACTTTAACCAATTCATCACCAAGTTCCACACAAAAGCTGAATACTGACATTCAAAAAATAGATGACTGTAGGTTTCCTGATTATTTGAGCATAATGCGCATTGATTTGAAGTGATAATTCCCATACGACACAGTCTATCTTGAGTTAGAAGCCTTGATTGAGCTGCTAACCATAAGATAAAAGAGTGCTTAGGAAATTGCAATTCATCCCATATAGTGTTATACCAATCAGCAATAGGATTTGAGTGTTGCAAAAGCCTGTAAATAGAAGAGATTTTGACTCTGTCGTCCAAACAGCAGCTGCTAATGGCATTTTGTAGGCTGCTAACAGATCCAAATCTGTTAACCATCATGTCCTAGCTTTTTACGAGCTGTTTCCATACCCATGAATCATGCACCCTTGATCTAACATGCCATATATTTGCTTGATGTAAATAGTTTCTGTGCACCCATTTTATCCATAGAAGATCCTTCTTGAGATGTATCATCCACAAGAGTTTGACAGTAGCAGCATAATTCTATGTTCTTGCCGAAAAAACTCCTAAACCACCATGTGTTTTATCTTGGCATATTTTAGCCCAAGAGACTAGAGGGATTTTGTGGTTCCAAAGAAAACCTGAACAAAGTTTATCAATTTTTTGTAATACTCTGGTTTGCAATATGTAGCTGTTTGTGCAGAAAACATGAACACCAAAAATCACTGATTTAATCAACTGTAATCTCCCCGCATAGGAAAGATTTCTCTATTGTTTCTAGCTGTGAAACTGCTCAGATATCTTGCTAATAAGGGGAGAACAATCCAACCAAGACAACCTCTTTGTAATAAGAGGCATTCCCAAGTATCTTACTGGCAATATACCTTCTGAAAAATTCAGATATAAGCAAATCTGAGCCTTAAGATTTTCATCAACACCACTTATATACACAGAGCATTTATTTGGATTTGTTTCCAATCCAGAAACACTGCTGAACTCCTGAAGGCAACTGTGTAATGTAGCAATAGAACTCATATCAGCCCACCCAAACCAAATAAGGTCATCAGCAAAAAACATATGTGTAATATTCAGTCTCGAGCATTTAGGGTGGTGCTTAAACAAGCCATCATTCTTGAGAAAATTGAGCTTTCTTGATAGGTACTCCATACCTTAGACAAATAGATAGGGGGAAAGGGGTCCCCTTGTCTTAATCCTCTAGCACCTTTGAAGAAACCATGAAGAGAGCTATTTATTGATAGAGAGAACTTTGGAGTTGTGCACACTCCATAATCCAATCAATCATGATATCCGAAAATCCCAACCCCTTCAACGTATCTTTAACGAACTCCCAATTGATGGTATCAAAAGCTTTTCTAAGATCAATATTTAAAATAGCTCTTGGTGAAATTTGGCTCCTACCATAATGTTTTATAAGTTCATGGGCAATTAAGATATTGTTAGAAATAACCCTCCCTTTGACAAATGCACTTTGTGCATCACTAATAAGAAACCCCATCACCCTTTGAATCCTACCAGCAATTATCTTAGTGATAATCTTATAAACACAGTTGCAACAGGAAATTGGCTGAAAATCGGAGGGTGACTTAGGATTGAGAACCTTAGGCACAAGAGTGATTGATGTAGTGTTTAAAGCACCAAGCATCTTACCAGAATAGAAGAACTCCTCTATAGCAAGAAAGAGATCCTCATTAATCACATCCCAAGCTGCTTTGAAAAATGAGGCACTATATCCATCAGGTCTAGGAGCTTTGTCATCAGACATTGAAAAAATAGCTTTGATGAGGCATAAACATATACCCAAAAATTGCAAGTGCACAATCAATCAAGTTATAGTATAAAGAGTTATCGATCCCACGAGGAAGGTATATTGTAGGTGAATATTAGAATCGGTTCTTATGTTGTGTGTATGACAATTAGGAGTAACGAAAATTGTAGTTGTGGAGAGATATCAGGAATGATTGTTATGAATATATGCAAGTGACAATAAATTGAGTTATAGAGGAGAGAAGAAAGAATCAAAGAATAAAATAAAAAGCAAGAAAGAGAAAAATCAATAAAACAAAAGATGGATGATTCAATTAAAGATATGAGAAATCTAGAATTGAATCCACTAGCTAATCTTAATTATTAAATACAAACTATTCTCTTTTTCTCATATTTCAATTTAGATTTATTAAGTATAGACTATCAAACCATTTAAGGAAAATATAACCTATCAAATTATCATCTAAGTCAAAATAAAAATCATGATAAGAACAATAACAAGATAATAATCCTAGAATTCATAAGTATAACCTATCAAACCACTCAAGATAGGCATAGATTATCAAATACTTCTTCTATCAATTAGTTCTCTAGTTGATTATCCTATACATGATCATTTTAAGTGTAAGAGAATAATTTGCATAACATAAAGGAATTAGACTAGTTTCATACAATTCTAATATTCCTACAAGAATTAATTTCACATCTTAAGAAATAAAAACAAGAAGAAAAAGAACTAATTACAAAAAGAAAAGAAAAATCTAAACTATGAACAATAAAATAAATCTACTCTATAAATTAAAGTGTAAAAAGGAAATAAAAAGATAAGAAAATAAATCTACACTACAAGCATGAATGTAAATCTAACTAATAAGCAATATTAAAGAAATTACTAAAAAGAAATAAAAGAGAAAAATAAAAGAAATACAAAACTTCAAATAATTTTTCATCTCCATCTTCATCATCCAATAAAGAAAAGAAATATTCAAAATGGTGAAAAAATTATTTTATTAATTATAACAAAAGTTACAAATTTAGAAGGCCTTCTCAATTAAGAGTGGCCCTCCTCTCCAAATAGAGTTACAAAAATTTTCACACTCCTAACCCCTTACTCTCTACCCCTATTTATAGTAAACATCAATGAATAAGAGCCCTTGGATTGAATCCTTATCCAAAACCATCAAAAATCAACCATTGATCTGTAACTGATTCGTCAGTATCGATGCCAGCATCGATGCGGGCATCGATATCCTATCAAATTTCTACCTTCACGGATGGCTTCATCTCGTCGAGATATGCGATTTTCATATAGTATATGTTAAATTTCGCCTCCGGATTGAGAGATATCGTCGTTTCTTTGCGGCCAACTATCTTGAATACATTTTTTCATATTTTATTTTTTTATTTTCTCCGGCTTCTACAGGCTACTCGGCTTGATTCTGAGCTTGGGCTTTTTGGCTCTTGCTTGTGTTCTTCATTTAATTCATGGGTTTTTATTAAGAGAAGAGATCTTGGGCTTTATTCTTCATTAATCTGCAATTAAAGATAAAAATAATTATTAATGGCATATTAATTCATATAAAATAGATAACGAGGGTATAAAATTATAATAAAATATGATTATCAAGCTTGCTTTATCTCTTCTCTGGTAACAGGTAGGCTTAAGGTAATACTTTGAATTGTACAGAGAATCAGACCATTTGAAATAACACGAGGGTCAGGTCTTGTAACAGATAAAACAGTTCCCAATAGCTTTCCATAATAATCAATGAATTCAGCAATGATATCTTGCATATCAGTTATTCTGACCTCATCTTCAGTATAGAAAGACAATACTCTATTTTGATGCCTTTTTCTTTCATAATTGAATGGAAGTATTGAGTGCATTTGTCTCCATGAATCCCCCATTTGATATTAGCTTTTTGTCTATAAAAGAAGGTTTCATAATTTATCAATCTAATATACTTTCCAAGGTATTCTTTCTCTTTTGAAATCAGCTTAGGATTGAAGAGATCATAATTCAGCTGATTTTGGATCACAATAAGATAATCCTTTGCCCTTAGCACTTGTTCACTAATATTCATAAAGTTCTTTTTGTTCAGTTCCTTCAGAACATGCTTGAGCTTCTTTAGTTTTGCATGGAATTTATACATCTAATAGCCAAAAACATCTTGCTCCTATGTTTCCTTAACTATTTGAAAGAAAATCAGGATGATTACTCCACATTTTAAAATACTTAAATGGCTTTTCCCCCCTAAAATCCCCATCTTCTATTGTTATTAATGTAGGAGAATGATCTGAACAGTTTGGCATTAAGTATTCAGCTTGACTTGATGTAAACTGATGAATCCAATCTTCATTTATCAAAACTCTATCATGTCTACTCCATATCCTTATATCAGATTCTTGTTTATTGCACCAGGTAAAATAACATCCAGTAGTTTTGATATGCACAAGTTGGCATGCAGAAATGAAGTTCTAAAAATCTTCAAAATCAGAATCAGATAGAAGTGTACCTCCAATCTTCTCTCCATTGTTTATAACTGTGTTGAAGTCCCCTCTAATAATCCATGGACAATTAACTTGCTGTTTGAACGCTAACAGGTCATGCCAGAGAGCTTTCCTTCTAGACATGTCATTTAAAGCATATACAATTGAGATTAGATATGTTAACCTACCATCTTTAGAGTCAATTGCACAAGTTACAAATTGATTTGAGGAAGAGATTAAATACACTGAGAGAAAGTCACTATCCTATAGTATCCAAATCCTTGCTTTATTTGCATGATGAGCATTTGAGATCTAGCTCCACTTTTTTATCACCTTTTTTTGCAATCAACTGCATCTTATTTACACCAACTTTTGTTTCCAGAAGAGCTATAAAAGGAAGCCTGTATTGATGGATAAATTGCTTCACAATCTGATGTTTAGAGGATTTGTTAAATCCTCTAATATTCCATATAGCTAAATGCATTAAAATCTAGACCCACCTCTATCCATACTAGAGGGGTCTAAAACATGATCCTGAAATACCAAAGGGGAAAAATGTGATGCTTGAAAGTAAGATACCCCTTCCTCATTTGCTTTAGGTTATGAATTTGCTCTTCTTGCATAATTTTCTCTGTTTACACTAGAAAATCCGGTAGCATTCACAACAGGTGAGAATTGATGGACTAGTTGAGCAGAATCTCTACTGGCAATTACTGCTAGTGTATGTTTATCTGATGGTGTTTGCATCTCATTTCCGGTATGTACTGTGTTGCTTCATCCTACAATATCAGGAGTTTTTCCAGTTAACTCCTCAGCAGATCTTTGCTGTGCACGTGCACCAATAGAAGATTGTGCATTAATAGGAGACTTAACAACAGGAACCCAAATTTTCCTCCCAGCTTGCCTTCTACACTGATCAGTCATGTGACCACTAACATTGCAAGTATTACACCACCTTAGCTTTAGCTCATATATAACTTTTTGAGTGAAGCTCTCACCATCAGGCCCTTTAATAATAAGTTGATCAGGAAGGGGGGATTTTAAAGGCAGCTTAATCTCCAAAAAAGCTCTAGCATAGGACAACCTTTGCCTTGTTCTTGTGAGTTTATCAGTGGTAATTGGCTTCCCTATGATACTTGCCACCTTGCTAATCCCTGTAGGACTCTATAGATTAAGCCTTAGATTTGGAAGTTGAATCCACATAGGGTAGCTATAATCTTAGATCTTCTCAATGTCAGTATCTATTGTCCATGGCTTAAGAACCAAAGGCCTTGCCCCAAAGAACCAAGGGTCTGCTTCTAGTATGTCTCTCGTGTATTTATAGATTGAAATTCAAACAGGAACACCCCCTATTTGATTAAGTGAACTGTAGGAATAGAAAATTTCCCCCAAACCTTGTTGACATATGTTTCCATAGATTTGAATCTAACATTAAGCCCAATTATATGACCAATTAGAGAAAATTTCTAATAATCTTCTCCTTCACACCATTCCACCATAGAGAATGTGACAGCATTATCTTGAGATGATGGCATAAAATTTAGATTTAATCCATTTCCATACTTTCTGTTTTCAGCAAACAAGCTAGCATAAGATTTTTGAGATGCAGTTTTATTTTTCTCTAAATTCTCATCTCCTCCCTTAGGCAAGAGAACAGAATCATCTGGAATATCTATTCTATCCATCACAGCTTCTGTATTCATAGATCTATCATTTTGATCAACATGAGAATCCAAATCTACATTTCCATCATCTTCTAGAATAACATTCTCTATTAAGCAATCTTCCTCAACCTCATACGCCCAAAGAGAAGAGTTAGAAGATTTACCTAGCTCCTGAGGGATCAAAAGACCGGATCTAAATGGAGGTGGTTGAGGATCTAACAATGGCTT